TGAGTTATGTTTAAGTTGGGTTTGTTATAAAGTGATTGCTTAGTTGGTGATGTGAGCAAAATTAACTTTTCTTAGACACAAAATGAGCTGAAAGTACTGCTCAGTGTATTTCTTTGTCCCATACGGCACGCAGCATAACACTGTAGTAATTTATTTTCAGATGATACATACATGAACATGTTTGTTTTGTATCATTATACATATCGTTATTGATACTACTATACATTTTTTTTAATCTAGGGAAAGTTACTTGAATAATAAATTTAAAATAATTTATTAATTTTGTGTTAATAGCTGCACATTTAAGCATTACTTCTCACAATTTATAACCAGGCTTCTTTGTATTAATAATGAGACCAAACATGCCAACTAGAGAAAGATGCTGTGATTCTATTAGTGAGTTGCATTGATTAGATCAGGTTCATGACTTTGTAACAGCAGGACATGAATGAAATGCATTTAGACTGTCTTGATTTGTTGGCATTGGACAACTGGACACAAACAGCTCAAGTGAAAACTTTTATTTATTCACAAAAAACAAAGTGCTGTTGTGGCAGCAACTGGAGGGGAACACGGAGGAGGACCTGACATGGCGTAAGCATACAGAATGCCAGACTAGATAGACGAGAGCCGGGGGACTCTATGGACAGTGGTCAGAGTGGAAACACCTGGCATGATGACAACTGGGGACAGGTGAGAGTGGGTGGGGCAGGAGCTGAAGGAGCAGAGACTGAGGAGAAATGAACCAGTGATGCAAGGAACACTAGGAACAAACTAAAACTAGATGGATGCATGGATGGATGCATGGATGGATGCATGGATGGATGGATGGATGGATGGATGGATGGATGGATGGATGGATAGATGGATAGATGGATAGATAGATAGATAGATAGATAGATAGATAGATAGATAGATAGATAGATAGATAGATAGATAGATAGATAGATAGATAGATAGATAGATAGATAGATAGATAGATAGATAGATAGATAGAAAGAAAGAAATAGTCAAGAAAAAACAAGCAGAATACACAAATTTGGAAAAAGACAATATTCACATGCACAAGGTGGTAGGGAGTACTGCATTCACGATTAACTTATCTATATATATATATATACACATGTATATATACAAAGTACATGTACCTTACATGTATATGCATATGTACATGTATATATACATACATAAACATACATATACCGGTACTATAGAAAACAAATAACAAAAGAGAATTAAGTGTAAAAATTCCTCCAAAGAAAATCATAAATAAAAAATACAGATCCTGATATAAACACTGTGTATATAGGATTTACTAATGAAAGTGGTAACGTGTGATTGGTTTTGCAGGTGACGTGCACCACCGTGTGATCCCAGATCCTGGACAGGTCACTCCTCGGACTCTGGATCTGTTAGTCAACGCTATCGCCATCAACAGCGCCTACACCTCTAAAATCTTAGTAAGTTATATATATTGTACGTTAGATCCTTATTTACTGTTTCTTCTTACACTTTATATTTTTGCCATTGTTGGATGTAACTGGGACCTTGAGTACACAATTTCGTTCCACTTCATGTACCACATGTGATGAGAACGACAATAAAGAACCATGACCTTCACCTTAAAGTTGTGCAGAAATTAAACCGATTTCCTAGATTTTTTTTTACAGACCATTTGAAAACCTCATGATTCTGCAACGTTTTCTCTTTGATCCTCTACCTACGTTCTCTAATCTCCAAACTGTGAATCAAACTTGTTCTCTGACAGCCACCTGATGTGGAGGGGGGTCTTGCCAAGCAGGTGGGAAACAAAACAGAATGTGGCCTGCTGGGATTCGTGTTAGACCTTCAGCGGGACTATGCTCCTGTCAGAGAGCAGGTCCCAGAGGAAAAACTGTACAAGGTAAGGCCTCACATCCACATGTATCTGCTTTAAAATATTTATGAATCTATCGAGATACTCCATTTCCTTCACGTGTTTATTTGAATAAATATAATTCTGGAATTTTGTCCAAAATGAAAATGCCACTCTATTTTTTTTACTGCAGGTAAATGTGAAATTGCTTAAATTCAGAACTCAGGATTGAGTTTGTGTTATTTTAAATATAGTAACCAGTTGTTTTATAAAGTTGCATTTTGTTAAAGAAATAAAATGTACATTTATAAACGCGTCCTATGGTTGTAAAAACATTTCTAGCATGGACAGAAGTGATGAAAACTCTTGAGTCATTCCTTATTTTTTTGTACTTTTCCTTGAAGCAGCTATTTTGTCTTGTAATGTGTTAAAGTGGTTTTGAGCAGCAGTTCTTCAGACTTTCTGAAGATCCTTCAAAGTTATTTGTTGAACTTTAGTTTTATTTTTCTTACTAATTTCCAGCCCTTGTACCTGACCATTTTCAGGATGCTTTGTTTGCTGCAGCTCTTGGGCCCAGTGTCAGGTCTTCAGGCTGTCATTTCTTCACAGCTGGTCTAGTTTATAGGACAGAATGTGACAATTTCTTATTTTACACGACTGGCCTGTGTGAGGTTTGGGTGGTGGACATGCAGACTTACAAGGAGCTCAAATAAAATAAAACTGAAGAACTTTATTAATCAAGAACCAAAGGTTGTTGTGGCAGCAAACTATATACAACTAAAACACCTAAAAGGACAAAGAGCAGACCCAGAACCCACAATGGCAAATTGGTGAGAGGAAGGAAACAGATGGAATAAATGAGTTTACAGTTTAAACATGAATTCACATGCACGACTTCTGATGCACATTTATAAAACGGATACACTTTCATTCACTCATTCTGAGATTTTTAGGTAACAAATCTTTGTTTTGTCTTTCAGGTGTACACCTTCAACTCTGTGCGTAAATCCATGAGTACGGTGATCAAGCTGCCTGATGGGACCTTCCGTCTTTACAGCAAAGGAGCCTCTGAGATCATGCTAAAGAAGTGAGTGGTCACTTTAGACCTTCTGAAGAAGTAGAGTCAAAACCAACTCAGATTGTTTAATTGTGATGAACAGTTTCAATTTAGGAGGTAAACGTTGATTTCCTCTTTTGTTTTTATTTTAGGTGTTCCTACGTTTTAGACGCCAATGGAGAACCACGTAGTTTCCGCCCACGTGACAGAGACGAGATGGTTAAACAGGTAAGGATGGATGATATTGTGATGGATTCAAACCATCTAACCTGAAGACAATAGTTGTATAAATTAAATGATGGAGCTGAACTGGTGAACAATACCTCTAGGTGCCAGAAAGATAAACTGTATTTTCAAAACTTGTTTAAAAATAAAAAGGTCTGAAACTTCATATAAAGCTCTGTAAAGGTAAAATAGGCAGCAGATTTGTTTCTTTTAAAGTAACTGTTGGATAAATTTTCTCGTTCACTAACATTTATGCAAAATAACCACACTCAACGGCAGGTGAAGATTTTTTTCATCCAGCATTTTATTTGCAAGGACTCATTTAGGACATGTTGCACACATCAGTGCATAAGCATGAAGACATGTCGCAGATATGAGCAGTGAACAGTGCTATCTGCTGACTTTTATAACATTAACAGCTCTGTGGAGTTCAGTGGGCGTCCTTGAAGCCAGCTGCAGCCATCTCTCACAACACTGTCTTCAAAACTACGGTTCACGGGCATCAGGGAGACGTCGTGAGTAGGCCTTCAGTCTGAGATGAGCGAGTGGTTTGAGAGACAATCGAGCCGCTTGTCCTCAGGGCAGAGGGGGAAAATGTTCTCAGCCACAATAATAAAACAATAAAAACATTCATAAGATGTGACCAAAAAGTCTGACTTGATCGTGTTCTGTTGAACTCTTTTATTAAAAACTATCAAATAAACTGATTGAGTTGAACAAAGAGTGGATTCACACTTGCAGGGATTTTTCTTTAACTTAAACTGATTTTTGTTTAAAGAACAAAGTTCATGCTCAATCATCCAAGTACCAAATTCAATAAATCTCAGTCGGGTCATCTGGACAGTTTCTTTTTTTATTCAGACGTTTCGCCCTCTATCCGGAGGGCTTCATCAGTCAGAGGAGTTCCAGTAAACCGTTTCCCCCACCAAGAAGTAAACTCCTTAAGTGGACGAACCAGTTTGCTTTGAACCACTTTGGTTTTGGAAACCATCTCAGCTCCAGCAAACTTGTTGGTCCACTTAAGGAGTTTACTGCTTGGTGGGGAAACGGTTTACTGGAACTCCTCTGACTGATGAAGCTCTTTGGATAGAGGGCGAAACGTCTCTTTAAAAAAGAAACTGTCCAGATGACCCGACTGAGAATTATTGGATTTTTGTTTAAGTGACAGGAGAATGGTATCTCATTTAACTTGTAACTAAACAAGAAAAATCATCTAATTTTGTTTTACCACTTGCTATTAAGAATTCAGCATCCTCTTATCTACACATTATCACTTATTCATAGTTGGGCCATCGAGAAATCAGGTCCCAGGAGAAAAAAACAGACATCTCTCCTCCCAGTGACACACTCCAGCTCCTCTTGGACCCCGAGGGGAATTCTCTGGCATTCCCAGTTCAGAGGGGATGTACAGTATAATTCCTTCACCAAGTTCTGGGTTTTCTCTGGGGTCTCCTCTCAGAGGAACGTACCCAGGAGGCATTCGAATCAGATGCCCGAACCACCTCAGCAGCAGCTCTACACAGATCTCTTCCCACACAACGGAGCTCCACATTATCGTTAAAGCTGAGCCGGGCCACCAAATGGAGAAATCTCATTTCAGCCACTTGTATCTGAGACTTTGTTCTTTTAGTTACATCCACACCTCATGACCGCAGGTGAGGGTCAGGTGGAGAACCACTTCATGCTACTGTCACACGAGAACAAGACCTCCAGGTACCTGAACGCCTCCGCTGGAGGCAAAGAGCCACTCTGGATCTTATCAGCGATTAATCAATTATAATAACTGAGTAATATTATAATACACTCAGAATAATAAACTTTAAATTAATCCACAGAATCGTAAGAAGCCAAAAGCGAATAACAAATTTAACAATTTCAAGAAGATGTTTGTAACTGTACAGTAATGATTTTATATATTGATATGCTAATGATAAAACTGTGTTTTGTTTGCAACAATTTGATAAGAAAACTGACAACATGTTGACAGATGTTTAAATAATCTTATAATGAGGTCAAATTTATTAATTTAGAATATTTTCTTATTGAATAAAGCAAGTACAAAACCAGGAAAGTTTACATTTTTATGTATTAGCTGCTAATCAGAACTTTAAACTGATAAAATCCATGTTTTGTTTCTTTTCAGGGTAATATACATTTTAAAAAATGTATTATACACTAAAAAAATCTAACTATATTTGCAAATGTTCTTAGACCTGTAAAACTCATGTGCTTGACTCAAAGTTATTAAATTTTTTATCCTGATTTGACATTAAAGTTTAATATCAGATTTAATCAGCTGCATGGTTTCATAGACTCAGTAACGTCAGATTTTTCTATCACCATCTCACAAAAATTGTTTTTAACCCTGAAGTTCATCTCTACGATATGATGCCAGTTTGAGCTTTTTTATGTAATAATGAAGGTGGGCTAAATTTAATTAGTAATTATTTAAACATTATTTAAAACTTTGATTAGTGAGTTATTACCACATTTATGCTTTCCCGTTAACAGTTTTACAATCAGAATATTGCACTTTCACAGACGTTTGACGTTTCCTACGTAACTATTTTACACCAACAATTTTCTCTGATCGTTTTTCATTTTTATCTCATATTAATAATTTGTTTAGATTTTGTTGACTTTGGCTTTTTTCCATCCTGTGGCATAAATTTCAGTCCGAGTTCGCTAGTGATAAACTGTCAGGCGTTTTCTGTTAGTTGCACAATATTACTTAATTATTATATTGTTACGAATTAGCTTACTCTTCCTCGTTGTCTTTTTTAATCTTATCGATTTGGGTAAAAATAAACAAACAACTAAAAAAACTACATTTAATATAGTTCACAAATGCTATTTAAAAAGAGTACAGAGTGCAAAATGGTTTAAAATGTCTTTATTTTACATAAAAGCATAATATTTCAATTTGCAAAAATGTAGAGTCAATTTGTGCTGTTTTCTTTTTGAAAAATTTGTATATTTTGTTATTTAAATATAGAAATTCTGCCTAAAATTGGAAAATAAAATGTTTGTATGTTGTTGCTTTTACAGTATTTCAGTCGTCTTTTTGCTTCAATTTGAACATTTTCCACTTCTTCTCTTGTGCAAATATTGTTCTTTTATGTGCAGCAATTCTGTCATGAGCTGTGACATTTTATGTATCAAAATAAATAAAATGAAAGATAAAAAGCTGTCAGGTCATTCGAAAATGATCACAAAGTTGTTTCATACCAAAACTGTCAAGATAACGAGAACTTTAACATATTTCTGCTTAAATTTGGAAGATGTTTTGTGAAAACTCCTTTGCTGACTCAATGAGATTTCCTCAAATATCCACAAGCAAAAACATCTTCCACATTAAAGCATCAAGAATCCACATTTACACTAAATCTCACTAAACGTCAGAAGCATTTCTGAACAAAGCACCAGTAAAAATGTGGCGTCAGCTGCGACCGACTTCCATCAGTTCCAATCCTGCTAAATATAAAAGGCCTTTGCTGCATCAGCTATGTCGACATACTAGCGTTTGGCAGAAAATCACACGTATTTGTACCTTTTATCAGAGTGTGCAGTCTTTGTAATTGACTGGCAGATCTAAATTTGGCTCATGATGAACACAGCTTGTGCCGTGAGAAAAATAACTGCTCCTTCCACAACTTGATTCCAGCTCAGTAGTTCAGTTTGCGTCGTGGCAGCTTTATGTCACGTCTGTTTTGTATCACGTTGTGCTGTCTGCAGCAAGCTGGGGGTCTTTCCCTGCAGCTGCGTCACACAGTATCCATCAAAACTGTACCTCAAACCATATTTAAGCCTTAGAAATAAGAATCTAACTGTCTTTTCTTATACAGTGTGCCAAGTAGTGCACAGTTTGATGGCTGGAGATGTTTTGGAGCTTTTCCCCGTCTTATTTTTATTAATAAATGATTACTAGGTGATTGAGCCGATGGCGTGCGAGGGGTTGAGGACCATCTGCATCGCTTATCGTGATCTAGCGCCAAATCCAGAGCCAGAATGGGACAACGAGGCAGAAATAGTGACCGAGCTGACCTGCATCACTGTGGTTGGAATAGAAGACCCTGTGCGGCCCGAGGTATGCACTGTAGAGCAGTTGGAGTTTGTGCAGTCCATTATACATCATTTACCATGCGTTTTAATTTAATTTGACGTTCTGTTTCTGTGTGGACAAATTCCTTTGACCTTTCCAAGGTGCCCGAGGCCATCCGGAAGTGTCAGCGTGCAGGCATCACAGTGCGAATGGTAACTGGTGACAACATAAACACAGCCAGGGCCATTGCTGCCAAGTGCGGCATCATTCACCCCGGAGATGACTTTATCTGTCTGGAAGGCAAAGAGTTTAACCGACGAATCAGGAACGAGAAAGGGGAGGTAAGATTGGGTCTCACAGGGTCAAATGTGGGAGTGAAAATGAACTGTAAAGTGCCAGAGTGAAACATCGGGGGTAATTGACTAACAGAAGTGCACAAGAATGTTCATAATTTTATTAGAGTAGCATTAAAACAAGAAAATTAAAGGAATTAAATCAAAGGCTTCAGACCAGTCACATTTTTGCAGCCACTTGAGATTGTCACAGTTTTTAATCATCAGATGACAGTAAAACACACAATTATAAATTAATGAAGTGAGCAAACTAAGATTTTTGGCATCACCTGGTTACTTATGATAAATCTGTTGGTGACTGATAGTAAAAGACTCATAAAGATAAAAAAAAACATTGTTTTTTCATCTGAAAATGTCATTGTCTGGTGAAATAAAATAAATTTGACAAATCAATAGGAATATATTAAATAAAAATCAATAAATTCCACAACTAATCTCTTAAATGAGTTTTTATTTTTTCATTTTTTGGGGGTGGAATTACAAGATTACACGGGCAAAAACATGGTGATAGTGAGTCCAAAAGTCAGCAGCACTAACTGGACAAACTACCAGAACTAAATTGATTGCTGCACTGTCAGTGTTGGTAGAAATGTTCAATTTTTATCAACTTTTCTCAAAAAATAATAAAAAAAATGCAAAACTCCTTAAACTCCAGTTTTATTAGGTAACTGACCTGGCATGTGCTCTACCACTAATGGAGCAGCATTTAAATTTACTTTTCACAATAATTTTTTTACTTCATATGAATATATAATTTGAGGTTATTTACTATTTAGAACATAACTATATAAATAAGTGCTCGGACGATATGGAAATTTTGGCTAGCGCCCATACTGATATTGGCGACCGCTGATAACCGAAATAAAAGCTTGAAATTTTTTAGCTGTGTCCAACCCCAAGAATGTAAGAAAACAGCGAGTGGGGCGGGGCTTGTTTATTTAATGCGGCTGTTAGCAACCATGAAGCTAAGCTAATCAGATCCACGCTTTAATTAGTCCCACAGTAGGTGTACCCGTGGTGCACTGGTCATAAAAACAGTCTTCCTAATGTGAGTTCACATTTTCTATCCTCCACTATTCACCTTAAAGTTATCTAGTGTCTCACAAAAATATAAATTAAACAAACACCTTCCCTGTTGGTTGTTTCAACAGTCATGTATGGTGAAGGTCTAATTAGTAGTGACCGCAGCAGAGTTTTTGTTTTTCATTACAAAAAGTAAAGATCTGAGACCATCGATGCATTTCAATGAGGACAACAAAGATAACGTTACTAACACTGGTATATATTTTACCTGTACTTTAGATTTATTGTTCTGGATAAAGTTTTACAAAAATACCTTGAGAATACCTTGGATTATCTTGCAAAAAGATCTGATGCTCTTGACCTTCACCTCTCTAAGTGGCTTCAAACTTCTAAGTTCATGACAACAACCAATGCAGACATGTTCCTTTATTATTTTACATCACTTTACAGTGTAGATGTTTTTGTTTCGCTTTTTAAATATAATTTTCTTTCATTTATTTTTCCCAATTTTTATGCTTTATTTTACGATCGTCTACTGTTGTCATCACTCTTTATTAAAATCAGGTCTCGTAAATGAGTCCTCGAGGCTCAATGAGACTAACCTGTATAAATAAAGGTTGAATGACAAGGCAATAGCCTATGCTAAACGTTAGCTTGCTAAATTGAGAGGCACGTAGCTAATGACCAGCGAGTTGGAGTATTGAAGAGGATTTATTATTGTTGACTTGTTTTACTGATCAGTTAAAATAAAGTTACCGTGCTCTCTCTGTTCAGCAAAATATGCTACACGGTATTGCTCCCTGCTTTGTCTGTGCTGAAAGTGAAACTTAAAATGAACGGCCATGACTTGAAAATAGTCTCCATGCGCCCTCTGCTGGATATTTTGTACAATTATGGCTGTTGCACAGGATTTTAGGGGTGAAAATTAGAAGTGTTTATATCAGTGCATAATGGGACAATTATCACCGATATGACACGTCCCCAAGCGTCTATATCGGCCCGGTCAGGCTCTAATATAAATTTTGTCCTGAAGTGGTTGTAGCATCTGCATAAAAAAAGGCAACATTTGTACACGCAGTGCTTTCATTCAGCTTATTCAGCTGTATAATTTGAATTTGAATGCTTAATAGGATAGGTAGCTGATTAGTGGCGTGCCTTTGCTTTTCCAAAGAGTGAGAATATAAATTTACTTTGTAAAATGCTGTGTGTAAATTGTAATCATGCATCCACTCTGTGTTGTTGATTGGATGGCAGCCAGTGCTTTATAAGAGTTATTTTTACTGTTGCTCTTTGATCCATTTTCTTCCATCATGTCATTGAAAGGAGCTCAGGGTTAGCAGTGACATCTAGTGAATCAGTGCTGAGGAGATTCTTGTTGTGCCACTCTTCATCGCACATCTTTTCCTCTTCTTTCTTTCCATCGCACAGATTGAGCAGGAACGTATCGATAAAATCTGGCCCAAACTGCGCGTGCTGGCTCGATCCTCGCCGACCGACAAGCACACACTGGTTAAAGGTGAGGATTATCATTAATAACTGCAACACAAACACCTAAATTTACACACATGCACACTTTGAGCCTGTTTTAATCTTCCTGTGTGTGTCCAGGCATCATTGACAGCAGCATCGTAGAGCAGAGGCAGGTTGTCGCAGTAACAGGAGACGGGACTAATGACGGACCAGCTTTGAAGAAGGCTGATGTGGGCTTCGCCATGGTAACCTGATATATTATTCACCTTTAATGTTTATGTGGTTTTAAAGCCCTCCTCAGGTTGCTTTTGTGTTGCGTTTTTTAAAAATGCTTAAAATATCAAAGATGGGATTCTACGAGTTGTGGCTCTGGAGCTGCATGTGACTTTTTGTAATTTTGATCGAAACGTAATATGGAAATATAACAATTTATATATTTGTAGTGGCAAAATGAGAGGGTGGTTTTAGATTATTGTCTGTTTGGTTTTGTTCTGTACTTACCTAATATTTCCACAACAGAATAAAAATACAGATTTTTATGTCTTTAAGCTAAAATAATGGATTTTTAATTTCCAAGTCAAATATTTGTTTTATTCTTTTTTTGTTGTTGTAACAAATAGAAAGCTTCAAATGGGTTTTGTGTTTCTAGACTAATTTTGTTTAGGAGGACTGGAGACAGAATGGGCTCATTTGATTGTAAAGGTTGCAGACTCTTGATCGAAGATGTGCTCGGACACATTTTTATAACGCAGCTTAATTTGAAAAATGTTGGCATGTTGTATAAAATGTAAAGAAAAACAGAATACAATGATTTGGAAATCTCATGAACTCATATTTTATTCACAATAAAACAAAGGAAACATATCAAACAATAAATTGAAAAATTTGTACCATGTTGGGGGGGGGGGGTGTAATTTTGAATTTCATTGCAGCAACATGTCTCAAAATTGTTGGGCCATGGGCAACAAAAAGTCGTAAAAAATAAGTGGTACTCATAAGAAACAGATGCATTTTACAGCAAAGTTAATTTACGACATCATGAATTAAAGTTCTCCGTCGCCACAACGGATTTCCGTCATTTTGAACGTGGCCAGAATGGATTTCCAACATCTTTAAAAATGAGGAGGGGAAGAAAACGTGCGTTTTGTTGTAGTCTTGTTAAATCCTTCTAATCTAATGATGATGCAGGAATTAAACTGACGCTGCTTTCAGCCAATGAACAGAACCAGAGCCACAGTTTGACCCAATCAGAGCAGAGCAGGGCGGGGCCTGCTTCACGGTGAGCGTCAGAGAAGAACTGCAGGTGAAAGCTCACCTGCAGCAAGCCAAGGAGGACATCCTGCTTCCCTAACATAACTGTCCACCCCTTCATAAAGATGATGACTTGGAATAAATTATTAAACGTCTACGTATTCAACGTTGTGTTCACGCGTGACCAATTCAATGCAGCCGGGGGCGATACCAGAACTGATATACCATCACCCCCTCCCGCACCGCTCCCCGACCTCCTTGGGACTTATGAATCTAAAGTCTAAATTATTATTAAATGTTCATGTGTGCAGAGCGTCATCCTCATACAGACGTGTGCAACCTGTGCGTGACTGAACTCCAGGTCAGAGAGAGAGACGTGCATCGCTACGGGAGCGCACCGCCTGTTGAGTTTCTCTCACGGTGACAGGCTGTTTCTGCTGCTGCAGTTTTTCTAATAAATATTCAGGCTAAAAGACAAATATTTATGCCCCAGCGTCATAATCTGTGTGTTTAGTAGTTTCCTGTATTTCTTGTTTCTGTGTTCCTTGTGTTCTGTCCTCCTGTGTCATTTCTCATTTCTCCCTCTTCAGTCTGCCACCTTCACCTGCTCCCAATCATAACCACCTCCGGTGTTCGTCATGTCTCGTTAGTGTCCCTTTAATTGCCTTGTCATTTTGTTTATGGATTGTGCTTCCTCTGCCAGTCATGCTCTGTACCCCCGTGTCTCCCCCACTTTGCTATTTTTGCAAGTTTGCTGCCACTTCAGCTTTTTGGTTATTTAAATAAATAAATTTCCTTAGTTTCGTGTCTGTCTGCACCTGGGTTCAAACTCCACCGAACATCAGTGTTTCCCGTTTCCTCCACCATTTTACAAGCAGGGTGCAGCACCCTGTCAACAGAGCTGAGTGCCCTGCCTACCAACCCCCCCCCCCCCCCCCCCCCCCCCCCCCCCCCCCCCC